CTACCCATCGAAGTCCAGGTACCTTCCCTCAGGATTATGAAGGATGCAGGTTTGAACCAAGACGATTGGATCCAAACTCGACTTGATCAGCTAAATCTAATTGACGAGAAGAGACTTACCGCTATCTGTCATGGTCAGACGTATCAAAAGCGAATGATCAAGGCTTTTAACAAGAAAGTCAGACGTCAAGAATACCAAGTCGGGGATCTAGTGATCAACCGCATCATACTGCCGCAAGGTGATCCCAGGGGAAAATGGACCCCCACGTACAAAGGGCCATTTGTGATTAAAAACATCTTCTCGGATGGAGCTATGATTCTAACCACCATGGACAGTGACGACCTTCCTCACCCTGTCAATGCAGACATAATGAAAAGATACTACGCCTAATTAAAAGACCCGCTAGGTTGACTGGCCTAGGCAAAAATAAGGGCTTCCCAGCGAACAAAAGGGTTCGGGCAAAAATAAGGGATGAAAATGAAAAATCTGTACACCCGACAAGTCTAAAACCTGAAAGGGCGGCTTGGGCAAAAAAGCGTATCCCGGTGGACTGAAAACCCGAAAGGGCAGTCCAGGAAAAAGTCAAGGATGCAAAGTGTATCATTATATCTCATTGGATCATCTTGCGACCAGACTTCGATATCGACTATCAAGCTCGGACTGCACCAATCAATCTAATCAACCTTCGGCCAAGTAGCAAAGTGATGAGAAGCTCGAAGACATGAGAGCAATAGCAGAGTTGGAACTCAATGGGATTGTTTCACATAACTGTTTTATTTTACACAAAATTGTATAGCTTCTATTTTTACGGCGAAGTTCTCTTACTAGAGCGTCAACCTCCTTGTACGAAAACGCCTATCACAGGCCAACTTCAAAAATCAATACAAAATCATTTTCACAAGAAACTTTGAGTTTTTTCTTCTTTTTCTGTTTTGTTTTGAAGAACGTCCAATGATTTACTCTTGACATATGCATTTGAATATGATTGTTGCTCATAAATATTTACATAAGAAACAAAAAGACAATTACTCGTAATTCCAGAAACAGGGGCAAAAACAAGAAGTGTCAAACCCGACAGTTACTCTACCCAGCAGGTACCAGGACATAGGCAGCTTTGGAACACAATCATCGGTACATACACTCCCCACAGAGTAATAGTATTCAAAAACATTGATGTTGGCTTTCCCGAAACATGAAGTAATCTCCCCAGCCAGGGTCATTCGGAAACCTGACAGCTATATCCCCCGGCTGAATTTCATAATCGCAAGCGGGTCAGTAAGTTTCGTCTACCCAGCTGAGTTTATTTCTCTGGATACAGAAGCTCAATCCCCGATAGAGCTTATTACTTCAGCTACGAGATTTCACTTCCTAAGTTGTTCCCCGCAGAGTTATTCTCAAACAGAATCTCTCCCTGACAGAATATCCATAAACAACAAAGAGTAAATCTCCAGCATAGTCATTTATGTTCACCATTCCCCGGTGGAAGTAGAATAACCATAATTATCTACAACAGTCAGGAATGCTATATTCTCTAGCAGAAGTCAGGGATTAATTTTCCCAGACTCGGACATACCCCAATAGCATTTCATGTACATACATCATGACATGCGCATACATATCGCATACAACATAATCTCATTTATTTTGAGAACATCATCCCACCATGCATTTCATGCATCACATATAATTAACCCTGTTATCTTTTCAGGAAAAACAATTATCTTCAACAAATCCAGTAGTTATACAGGTCACATCTACAGATGACTAATGGAAACTCAGTTCCCAAAGCCAAACGGGTCAACTAATCTACACTGTCATCCCGAAGTAACCCTACTATCCAGGTTCCTTCCCATAAGCCCTACTATCCATGCTTTCATCTTGAAGTAACCATACTATCCAGGTTCCTTCCCATAAGCCCTACTATCTATGCTTTCACCTTGAAGTGACGCTACTATCCAGGTTCCTTCCCATAAGCCCTACTATCCAGGCTTTCATTTCGAAATAACCCTACTATCCAAGTTCCTTCCCATAAGCCCTACTATCCAGGCTTTCATTTCAAAGTAACCTTACTATCCAGGTTCCTTATTATATCCCTACTATCCAGGCTCTCACCCCGAAGTAACCCTACTATCCAGGTTCCTTCTCATAATCCTACTATCCAGGCTCTCATCCCAAAGTAACCCTACTATCTAGGTTCCTTCTCGAGCCCTACTATCTAGGCTCTCACCCCGAAGTAACCCTACTATCCAGGTTCCTTCTCATAACCCTACTATCTAGGCTCTCATCCTGAAGTAACCCTACTATCCAGGTTCCTTCTCGAGCCCTACTATCCAGGCTCTCACCCCGAAGTAACCCTACTATCCAGGTTCCTTCTCATAGCCCTACTATCCAGGATCTCATCCCGAAGTAACCCTACTATCCATGTTCCTTCTCGAGCCCTACTATCCAGGCTCTTACCCCGAAGTAACCCTACTATCCAGGTTCCTTATCATAGCCCTACTATCCAGGCTCTCACCCCAAAGTAACCCTACTATCCAGGTTCCTTCTCATAGCCCTACTATCTAGGATCTCATCCCGAAGTAACCCTACTATCCAGGTTCCTTCTCGAGCCCTACTATCCAGACTCTCACCCCGAAGTAACCCTACTATCCAGGTTCCTTCTCATAGCCCTACTATCTAGGTTCCTTCTCATAACCCTAATATCCAGGCTCTCATCCCGAAGTAACCCTACTATCCAGGTTCCTTCCCATAGCCCTACTATCCAAGCTCTCATTTTGAAGTAACTCTACTATCCAGGTTCCTTCTCTCTTGTCTTCAGATAACAATTTACAACACGGTAAGACCTGGACCTGACCAGTTACAGCCGAGTTCACTTTTCCCCAGTAAGTCCCTATACAGCTTGGACCCTGACCAGATCTGCAGTTCACTTCCATCTCCTCAATCAAGAATTAATCCCCTAGTAGAGTAATGGACAATCGAAGCTCCTATACCCTACTTCCCAAGACATAAATCAACTTTCCTCGATGAAGTCCTCCTCAGCGGCAGGTACATGAATTCTCGCAAAGGAATATTTTATACAACCGATATCTTTTCTGGAAGGCATCTTTAAGCCCATCTCCGATAATTCACTGCCGACTTCCAAATGGCATCTGTAAGCCCATTCCCGATAGCACCAATCAGTATTACTTCATGCGAGTGCAAATTTCTGGGCACTCTAGTGTTCAATCATCTTCCACCTTCAGATCATGAAAGGAAGATCTGCCAATCTACATCCTCATGTTTAAGAAGATTGAACAGGGGCAGCTGTTGTACCCCAAAATTTGCCCTCCCATTTTACTTAACATATGTTCATTGAGACCCTTAACTTGCTTAAGGATGCTCAAGAGTTGACCAGACAAACTCTCTTCTAAAACAATGAACCTCAGACTAGGGTTTCCATTTTCATCAAGATGGGTGAATGTTGCACCCAAAATTTTGCCCTCCTAATTTCTTTTATTTTGGCTTAGACTTTTGCATTCATTTGCATCTATTTCATTAGGTCACTAACATGGCATTCATCCACTCTTCAATTAACCAATTCAGGTTTTGTTGAATCATGATTCAGAGAATCATTGGTTGTGAATCTCGGTTTTTTCTTTTGGTTCGAGGTGTTTATCAAACAAGACTGATTCTTCTGGAACATTGAATTGTGAATTTAGGGTTTTGATTGATGGTTGTTGTGGATTTCTTCTTTATCAAGCTACGAGGTTATTCTCTTCATCTCAAAATCAAGTTGCAAGGTTTTATTTGTTAAGTATGAAGATTTGGGTTTATTTCCCTATGTCTATTGGAAGATCATGCTTTGTTTCATTTCGAAGACATTTTGAACATTATTCTATCCATGTCTCAAGTCGTCACTGTGCACCTAATACAAGTGGGTTAAGGTTTTGCATTTTGTGTGTGAGTTTGTTGATGTTCGTCAATGAGAAATGATTAGAGGATATCTTTCTAAGCTTCAAATTTTATCTTCTTCAAGGATCCCACAAAGACATTTTTTGACAAGACAAAGGACTTGTGGGGTTGAATTGAAAAGTATGAGGTCATGGCATAAGGAATGGTACCATAGATTCATGTTGATCAAGGCCATTTTTGTTCTCATCATCGTTAGTTTTTGCTCACAATACAAGTCAATATGGATTAGTAGTTTTAAGGATATCTTGGTTATACTTCTTCCATATTTCCATCTTCATTATCAGTTCCTCAAAACATTATATTTGTGTGACGATGAGCTTCAGTTTTGTTCAATAATTTGATTCAAGCAAAATTGGAAGATTCCAGTGAGATTTCGTGGATGAAAACCAAGTTAACTTTTGTGGACCAAATTATTCCATATTTCGTGATTTAGAGGTTAGTTGAAAATTATTGGATATACTTGACATCTAAAGATATTTTAAGACATGAGAAAGCATATGTGAAATCAAAGGTTCGAATGAAAAGCAAGTTTCATTACTATCATTGTAAATTTGTTCAAAATTACCGCACTCTATTAAGAAACAAGTCATGGCTTCATCATTCATTACCCAAACTGTTTCATTCAAGATCAAAGGTTTTCAAACATTAAAGGTTCATTCAAGTTCTAAAATTCATTAGTGATTCATTCCAAAATAACACGAGTGCAAAATGCCAACCATGTTACCAAGTTGATTAAACTCATTACATCATTGAAAAACCATAAAAGCTTCCTAAAAAAAAACATACTCACAACTAAACTAGCAAGTTCCGATGCAAAACGTTTGCTTGTTGGTTTGATAACAATGGCTGCCATAGTTTACAGCTTGCAACAAAAATCTTGCAATAGCATATTCAACGCAGTCAGCTTCATTATGGCCCTCCCGAACAATCATGACTTCATACAAACTATTTACACCAAGCATAAACCACTTTTCACCGCCAAAACCCTATTGCTTTTGAATCCACAGCTTCATCGATCATTCTCATTCATCACACCAGTTTCTGCAGCCATGACGGACAGGAAAACCATTGATTTAGATCAAGGTTGGGCCTATATGCAGAATGGGATTAAGAAATTGAAGACAATTCTGGAAGGATCATCGAAAACTCAGTTCAGTTCGGAGGAATACATGATGTTGTACACAACAATTTATAACATGTGTACTCAGAAGCCGCCGCTTGACTACTCTCAGGATCTGTATGACAGATACAAGGGGTTTTTTGAGGAATACATTAGATCGACTGTCTTGTCTTCGGTAAGAGATAAGCATGACGAATTCATGCTGAGGGAGCTTGTCCAGAGATGGGTAAACCATAAGGTGTTGGTTAGGTGGCTTTCACGCTTCTTCCATTATCTTGATCGCTACTTTGTAGTGCGGCGCTCCCTGCCTCCACTCAATGAAGTTTGGCTCTCTGCCTTCCGTGATTTGGTTTACATGGAGGTGCGAGCTAATGCTAGTAAAGCTGTGATTACTCTTATTGACAAAGAACGTGAGGGCGAACAAATTGATAGATCGTTGTTGAAAAATATTCTTGATATATTTGTTGAGATCGGTATGGGTGATATGAAGCATTATGAAAATGATTTTGAGGTCCAAATGCTTGAGGATACTGCCGATTACTACAGAAGTAAGGCTACAATCTGGATTGAGTCCGACTCCTGCCCATATTACATGCTAAAGGCTGAGGATTGTTTGAGACGATAGAAAGAGAGAGTGTCTCATTATTTGCATGCTAGCACTGAGCAGAAACTGGTAGAGAAAGTGCAACACGAATTGCTGGTAAGCCGTGCTAATCAATTACTCGAGAAGGAGCATTCAGGCTGCCGTGCCTTACTTAGAGATGATAAGGTGGATTATCTCTCTAGGATGTATAGACTTTACCATAAGATACCTAAAGGACTGGATGCTGTTGCCAATGTATTCAAGCAGCATATTACGGATGAGGGTACAACTCTGGTTCAACTGACTGAAGAAAGTTCTTGCAATAAAAAAAACTACAAACCCTGTTATCCTTGATTCAATCTGATGCTCCTGAGTCTGGCATTATATTTGTTAGTGAGCAGTCTGAGAAGTCGAAAAAGACTGGAAATGCTCCATCCACATCCCTTGTGATTCACTTTCTAAAGACATCATATCATGGTTCTTTAAACATCCTCAAATTCAAGATGACATGGATTTCAATTCAAGAGCAGCTTCTTTGTTGGAAGTCAAGAAAGGTAGCGGCTATCTTCTAGTAGAAACAGATGTAGCTGCTAGAGGAGTTGACTTTCCAGAAATGACTCAAATATACAACTTTGATCTACCAAGAAATGCCATTGATTATCTTCATCGAGCAGGGAGGACTTTCCAAAATTTTGCCCTCCTAATTTCTTTTATTTTGGCTTATACTTTTGCATTCATCTGCATCTATTTCATTAGGTCACTAACATGACATTCATCCACTCTTCAATTAACCAATTCAAGTTTTGTTGAATCATGATTCAGAGAATCATTGGTTGTGAAGCTCGGGTTTTTCTTTTGGTTCGAGGTGTTTATCAAACAAGACTGATTCTTCTGGAACATTGAACTGTGAATTTAGGGTTTTGCTTGATGGTTGTTGTGGATTACTTCTTTATCAAGCTACAAGGTTATTCTCTTCATCTCAAAATCAAGTTGCAAGGTTTTATTTGTTAAGTCTGAAGATTTGGGTTTATTTCCCTATGTCTATTGGAAGATCATGCTTTGTTTCATTTCGAAGACATTTTGAACATTATTCTATCCATGTCTCAAGTCGTCACTATGCACCTAATACAAGTGGGTTAAGGTTTTGCATTTTGTGTGTGAGTTTGTTGATGTTCATCAATGAGAAATGATTAGAGGATATCTTTCTAAGCTTCAAATTTTATCTTCTTCAAGGATCCCACAAAGACATTTTTTGACAAGACAAAGGAATTGTGGGGTTGAATTGAAAAGTATGAGGTCATGGCATAAGGAATGGTACCATAGATTCATGTTGATCAAGGCCATTTTTGTTCTCATCATCGTTAGCTTTTGCTCACAATACAAGTCAATGTGGATTAGTAGTTTTAAGGATATCTTGGTTATACTTCTTCCATATTTCCATCTTTGTTATCAGTTCCTCAAAACATTATATTTGTGTGAGAATGAGCTTCAGTTTTGTTCAATAATTTGATTCAAGCAAAATTGGAAGATTCCAGTGAGATTTCGTGGATGAAAACCAAGTTAACTTTTGTGGACCAAATTATTCCATATTTCGTGATTTAGAGGTTAGTTGAAAATTATTGGATATACTTGACATCTAAAGATATTTTAAGACATGAGAAAGCATATGTGAAATCAAAGGTTCGAATGAAAAGCAAGTTTCATTACTATCATTGTATATTTGTTCAAAATTACTGCACTCTATTAAGAAACAAGTCATGGCTTCATCATTCATTACCCAAACTGTTTCATTCAAGATCAAAGGTTTTCAAACATTAAAGGTTCATTCAAGTTCTAAACTTCATTAGTGATTCATTCCAAAATAACATGAGTGCAAAATGCCAACCATGTTACCAAGTTGATTAAACTCATTACATCATTGAAAAACCACAAAAGCTTCCTAAAAAAAACATACTCACAACTAAACTAGCAAATTCCGATGCAAAACGTTTGCTTGTTGGTTTGATAACAATGTCTGCCATAGTTTAAAGCTTGCAACATAAATCTTGCAATAGCATATTCAATGCAGTCAGCTTAATTATGGCCCTCCCGAACAATGATGACTTCATACATACTATTTACACCAAGCATAAACCACTTTTCACCGCCAAAACCCTATTGCTTTTGAATCCACAACTTCATCGATCGTTCTCATTCATTGCACCAGTTTCTGCAGCCATGACGGACAGGAAAACCATTGATTTAGATTAAGGTTGGGCCTATATGCAGAATGGGATTAAGAAATTAAAGATAATTCTGGAAGGATCATCGAAAACTCAGTTCAGTTCAGAGGAATACATGATGTTGTACACAACAATTTATAACATGTGTACTCAGAAGCCGCCGCTTGACTACTCTCAGTATCTGTATGACAGATATAAGGGGTTTTTTGAGGAATACATTAGATCGACTGTCTTGTCTTCAGTAAGAGATAAGCATGACGAATTCATGCTGAGGGAGCTTGTCCAGAGATGGGTAAAAAATAAGGTGTTGGTTAGGTGGCTTTCACGCTTCTTCCATTATCTTGATCGATACTTTGTAGCGCGGCACTCCCTGCCTCCACTCAATGAAGTTTGGCTCTCTGCCTTCCGTGATTTGGTTTACATGGAGGAGAGAGCTAATGCTAGTAAAGCTGTGATTACTCTTATTGACAAAGAACGTGAGGGCGAACAAATTGATAGATCGTTGTTGAAAAATATTCTTGATATATTTGTTGAGATCGGTATGGGTGATATGAAGCATTATGAAAATGATTTTGAGGTCCAGATGCTTGAGGATACTGCCGATTACTACAGAAGTAAGGCTACAATCTGGATTGAGTCCGACTCCTGCCCAGATTACATGCTAAAGGATGAGGATTGTTTGAGATGAGAGAAAGAGAGAGTGTCTCATTATTTGCATGCTAGCACTGAGCAGAAACTGGTAGAGAAAGTGCAACACGAATTGCTGGTAAACCGTGCTAATCAATTACTCGAGAAGGAGCATTCAGGCTGCCGTGCCTTACTTAGAGATGATAAGGTGGATGATCTCTCTAGGATGTATAGACTTTACCATAAGATACCTAAAGGACTAGATCCTGTTGCCAATGTATTCGAGCAGCATATTACGGATGAGGGTACAACTCTGGTTCAACTGGCTGAAGAAAGTTCTTGCAATAAAAAAAACTACAAACCCTGTTATCCTTGATTCAATCTGATGCTCTTGAGTCTGGCATTATATTTGTTAGTGAGCAGTCTGAGAAGTCGAAAAAGACTGGAAATGCTCCATCCACATCCCTTGTGATTCACTTTCTAAAGACATCATATCATGGTTCTTTAAACATCCTCAAATTCAAGATGACATGAATTTCAATTCAACAGCAGCTTCTCTGTTGGAAGTCAATAAAGGTAGCGGCTATCTTCTAGTAGAAACAGATGTAGCTGCTAGAGGAGTTGACTTTCCAGAAATGACTCACATATACAACTTTGATCTACCAAAAAATGCCATTGATTATCTTCATCGAGCAGGGAGGACTTGTAGAAAGCCCTTTTCTGATGTTAACTGTTCTGTCACAAAGCATTATAATCTCTGAGGAGCTGTTTGTTCTGCAGAGATATGAAAATGAGTTGAGGTTTGTCTGTGAAGAGCCTATTCCAAAGTTAACCTGCAAACTGAATTACTAATTCCCATAACAAACTTCAACAGAAAATCCCAACTGTTTTAACAATACATAACAGAATTTTCTAAACAGAATGCCCAACTAACATAACCATCTTGTAACAAACTCTCGATCTCACCCTTCAATCCCTAACAAACTCTACCCAAATCAATGGTTCAGATTGATTCTCACATAGCCGTTTCCATCTCCCTCAACTACCTATATAATCCAAACTCCCCCCAAGTTTCAGGGGACAACGTTACTCTCTCTTTTCCAATTTCAAAACTTCACTCTCTCTCCAGCATTTTATCGGCTTCAAAACAATTTTTTCCTCTCCATCATTCACTCTCCATTTTTCTGAACTCTCATCATCTTCATCTTCCTTTCATTCATTCACTTTTCTCTTTTTCCCCCTCTCTCTCTTTGTAGATTCCACCATTCTTGACTCTTTAAAAAAAATCACAAAACTCCTTTAGTTCTCACCACATCTCATCATCTTCTTCAAAGACTTCAACGATAATCTACAAGAACTTTGTACATCATCAGCATCATCTTCAACGATTTCAAAACAATCGTGCTCGGCTCAAGAACAACAGTGCATCACACCATAACACACACCAGCAAACAGATCACGATGCAAAATAGTCGATTCATAGAAGAAGAAGATTGAGAGGAAGAGGTCACGCATATGAGTTAAGATATTCAAACCTGAATACACAAGCACTACAAGATTTCTATTCATCTTCACCATCCTCAAAGAGCATCGGACTTCTCCGGTAGGTAAACACCGTCATCTTATCTCCTTCGTTATTTCGCTCTTTCCTTTTAGCACCTCCGTGTAGAACGTGTGGCAGGATTTCTTTTTTTCTGGAGAGTTGTTGTTTGTTGAAAATCGGGGAATGATGTGGAGGTTTATAGGAGAAGAGAGATCGAAGTAAGAACGAAATTGATGATATTGAGGAGACGGAGACCGTGCAAGGTTTCTTCGGAGACGGAGATTGATGGTGAAGTTGCGACAATCGCCGATCGGAGTGAAACAATGGCGGCAGTTCGTTCACACGGTGCCGTTTGGAAGAAGAGAAGAAGAAGTCTGACTGTCACTCTCTTGAACCCCCGCAATTCCCAAACGACCTCGTTTTCCCTTTTTTTTCATTTTATTTTGTTTTAATTTGTTAATTCTTAAATTTTAATAATTAATAATGATAATTGAAAAAAGATCTAATATTGGTTGGAATTTGTTTGTGGATGTTACCATTTCCTCTGGGCTCATGTGCTGGATCCTCTAAGCCCATCAGGTATTTTTTTAAAACAAAAAACTATAACAAAAAAAATGTTTCATGAACTGGGCCTAGAATCTGAATTGGAATCGCTATGCAGTGGCATCGTGTACGACATACACCTCCTGGGCTGTTTTTTTTATTCTTGGCAAAATTTCTTTTTTTTATTTATTTTATAATTTTGATTATAGTTTAAGACTTATCTTAATCTTCCTCATAAAAAAAATATAAAATAAACCCGTAAGAATTTGTTAGTTTTTTTTAGTACCTTTTTTTTTTTTAATTTCTTAGGAGTTAATCCGTGGTTATCCGATTAGTTGAAATTCATGACTCACCTTTGCTTTGTTGAGACTTGAATCTTATGCAGGTTCAATATGCAACACGTGGATATGCTTGAAATT